AAAACGCCGTAACTTTCGTATTTGGCATCAACCTTGACCGATGAAGGTATCGTAGGAAAGATCTCACTCAGTGCTAGTGATTGGTGCCGTTACCATAAAAATGCACTCGACTAAACAGAGAGAAAAACGCCAGTACATACAGTGGAAACCCACTGCTGTGCGGGTCATTTTTGACACCACAAGCATTTCACCATTTCAAGCAGTTACGCCGTGAAACTCGGCTGTGAGACTGGGTCGACATAGGACTGCTGCCCTTCACTGCTGGAGGCAGTGCGCGATATGTGTGGTCCGAGTTGTAGTTGGGCCTTGTGCACTCGTGTAACGGTTTGCGGGCGGTTCGGGAGACCTATTTTCGGGGGCACACGAAAGACCTCCAGTTCCCCGACATGCGCATCCCGCCATCCTTGACGGATGCNAAATGGGACAGCACGTCGCCGGCTGCTCCCGTGGCACGCTGGAAAGAGTGGTCTGAAGGCTGCGGCGGAACCGATTTTTTGAACGAGGAAGGGGTTTCCAGCTAGTCTAATTCCTATACACACCCCCCCACGCGAACCGGAACATTGAATGCCCCCCTCCCCTTAAACTCGTGTCAGTGGCTAATCGCAAAATCTAGCAAAGACTCGGTCCGTGGTCACAAAAGTGCTAGAGCCATCAGAAGCTCTAAAGAACACACACACTATAAGCAAGAAAAGGGTACGCAAGCCGAGGAGGTACACCTGCGATCCCTGCAGCACGTTTGCATGCTCACAACTGAACTACACGCCCACACACACTAATCGACTACATCAGCAGCATCACCCGCCTTGTCCCGCATTTGACCAAAATGAATGTTTGTCGACTACAGCGTACTGCTGTCTGAAGTGCTGTCTGTACAATATAAACACCATGGTGCATGGTATACAAGCTCGGGGCGTGCAGCTGCTGTCTGAAGTGCTGTCAGAATGAGTCCGCGGACATACAATGAAGAACACCAAACCCAAGCCATCGTTCATTGCAATTGACAATCACCCGAATCTATCCAGATCATCTGTGTTAGGCACAGCAGTGAAAACATCGACACTGACTAGGAATCGTTCCACATTGAAGGGGTCTTCCACGATGCAGGTACACAACAATTAAAAGCACCCGGGTTATCCGCGCCATTTCTGCCGCGTCTCTCTACAAAACCAGTGACGTCATCACACACACTCAACACCTGTATTCAGGAAAAATACGGAAAAATAATTGACAACACACGAGATGTTTGTCCGTGCGCCACGGTTCGATGCCGTCCGCCTGCTCCGGTGCCGCTGCTCCGGTGCCGCTGTGGCCAGTCCTAGCACGACCAAACTCGACCCGCTCCGCTTCGTACCCGCTCTCGTTGCTGTCCATCCCAGTCGGTTCCTCGCGTTCTCCCTCGTTTCACTTAAGGTTCTTGGTCTGAAAATTCTCGCGCCGAAGGGTCAACCAGCCCAATCAGCTCGTCACCACCTGTCCCCTCCTCCTTTGATGGCAAAACCAGGTTACTGAGACAGTACAGCTCCCTCTAGCAAACCTAGGGCCGTGTACATAGTGCCCGTCCACCTTTCTGATGACGTCTGCCTCCGCGCACAAGGATGAAATGGGCATTGCTGCCTACACCGCCGGCCTGGAGGCCCGCGCATCTGCACCTTTGTACCTGACGCACCGGTGCCGACCCAACTCCACCACTACTACGCACGCCTCGCGGCGGGTGCGCCGCAGCAAGAAGGTATCGGTCGCTTGAGGGTGAGTCTAGCCCTGCTCGCTAGAAAGACCCCCCCCCCTTGCTATGGGTCATGCCTACGAAAAACCTTGCCGAGGCAGCGAGGGGAAGTAAGGGATGACGAGAACATGAATCGATCTCTCACCCTAACAACGAATGAGCTCTCTGGTTTTGCTAACGGTGATGCCTCTCTTGGCGTACCCCAGCAGGCAGTTCATGTGCGCGTTGGGCGTGAGCCACGACGGGTAGTACGGCCGGTCGACTACCCCTGCCAAAGCTCGCAGCACGCGCATGTTGTGCCGTCGGCATACGAGCTTCGGCCGCGTTCGCTGCCGAAAGACCACCGACAGGTACACCAGCGCTACTAACGACGCTGCCGCTGCCTTTTCCTTTCCTCCTGTTCGCCTGGCATTGGTGAGGGCGCGAACCCGCGACAGGATTCTGTTCAAGGCTCCGCTGCCGATGCTACTCATCGTGGAGTGTTTTTGGAGCAGCAGCCAGGGTAAGCGCGGGGGCTCCGTGAGTAGAGACGTAGAGATTACACCGCGTTTAGTTGGTTTGGTTCTATGCGGCGGGATTGTTGCCCGCTGTCCCGCTGTCGCTGACTGTTTTTGGTTGTTTGTTGCTCTGTTTTCTCACGCACCACCTGTGAGGGCGTAGTGTATTCGGGAAAGCGAGTCAGTACATACAATGTACACGCGGCAAAGGAAAGATAGAAAACATTGTGGTCGTCGTCTTTGTTGTCGACATGTGGTTTGTCGTTGCTGTTTTCGTTTTCTTTTTTGCATATTCTACTCTATCCAGTTCCTCTCCATCCATCCGTATCTTTTTCTTTGTGTGTACTCGGACTCTGCACAGTAGTAGATATGCTGCCATGCAGTAGTTGAAACGTTTTTCTTGCGGGCCATGTGCTCGCACGCAGCGTGGCGCGTGTTCCCCCACAAAAAAATCATTCTGCCATTGTTCACGCATTGACGACAATCACCCAGCGCTTCAAAGCAATTGCAAATATGTTCTGTTGATGTCGTCAGTCTCTCGTCTGTTTTTATGGCTTCGTGCGTGTTCTTGAAGTACATATCTATGGCACAGCAGTTGATCTCCTCCAGCACGTTGGGATAGACATATCGTTAGAGCTTGGTCAGAGTCTGTGTTTTTTGCAAGAAAAGACCGCTTCTCCGACGAACCAGGACATACAGGATGCCAACAGCCTGACTCATACGCTTCGCCGAACAAAACAGAAAACCTCGTCGGTTTCAGTGTTGTTCAGCGCGGTGTTGGTGAATAGTCTGGTTCGTTGACGTTTTCCATTGGTCAGCCGGTTCGCGAGGTCAATTCAATAATGAAGACACTTCGTGAATGGACTGAATTTGGACGCTGTGTCGGCGCATCCGGTATGTATGTCGATGCGCAAAACCAAGTCGACCGGACAGTACAGGTATTCTTGACGCAAGCACATCTCGGGCATGGTTTGGGTGCCCGTGATTCTCCTTCTGTTGTTGGTGACCGTCGTACTCGGGTGGCTGGCCTTGCTGTTGAGGTTGTTTATGCACAGGAACGACTTCGAGGTAGCGGCGAGGTCGCCTTCACTGATGTTCGTGACTGAGGTGATGATCCTAATTTTGGTCGTGTCCGTCCTCTTGAACTGGCTGCTACGGAGCATGGGCACCACCTTACCTTGCTGGGTCAGCTTCGTCGTCTCCCAAGGCGGTAAGACCAAGGGAACGTCACCAATGCCGTAGTTCTAACCTGGGTACATAGTACTGTTGGTATTATGCATACCGCTGTCACAACTGCAATGATTTCGTCGAATCGATATGAACTCACTGACTTGGTTTGGAAGCCAAAACCCACGTTTGTATGCCGTAGGGGAACATGTAGTCACACCATTGGCTGTACTTCTATAGGTTGCCTTGTGCATGTATGTTGCATCTGTTGGTTTGTCCCACGAAAACGCCAACTTCAAGCGTTCCACCACGCCCCCTTCCCTCATCCGGTCGTGCTGGGACACTTCCTTGTTGCAGCACTCATGTTTGCCACGACCCCGTACGTGATTCGGGCCGTCCGATTAGTGGTCGCGTACAATCGGAAATATCGGCTCAAGTACGCCAGATTCGTGAAGAGAAATTATGCTTTGGGCTTTTGGGCCGTGGGCTGCATTGGGCTTACCATCCGAGCCGGGATATTCTTCGGGACCGACCCTGCACACTACTCCAGGTGACAACCAAACACAGAGCTTGAAGCCTGCCAGAGCGGACGGCTCTTGCAAGGCCGGACGCGATTGCAGAATACGTGTAGGTTGTGAAATCGACAAACTGCTGAACATTGAATGTTTCCGACGTCAGACCACAAATCATTTTAGATCACGGCACGGCAGTAGTAGATCTATGTAGGTAAGGGTCAACTCTCATTCCAGGTTGAGAACCGAACGCTTGATGCTTCGATTTGTCGTTTCCATAGGCAGGCGCAGGTCTCACGCAAGCATTGGGGTCACGTTTTCGAATGTTTGAATAAGCCAGCAAGGTTGCGTAGCATCTCATTGCTACCGTAGCCTTGGAAGAAGGTACGCTGTCAAGCGTTCACCGCATCACCCTTCTCTTTCGCCTCGACGACTATGCACCATTGCATCCCTCTATCGATACTCGCGTAAGCAAGTCATGGTAGCGGAGACATGTCAATTGAGCGCAAAATGAAAACGCGTGTTGGAGGTGCACTTCTCGTCCGATCTCTTCAACCTCCCCGCTCAACTGCTCTTATTCTCTGCTCTGCAGTGACATGCGAGAGTGTTTCTACTGGGACGACATCATGCTCATGGGAGCAGTACTTCTTTTTGGCGGAGCGCCAATGTCGTGTTTGGCCATACGCATATCGCGAGTACATGACGCCTTTAAGCTTCGCGAGGAACTGTGTTTTGTGTTCATCGGCTGCTCCTGCTGCGTGGGTGAGGGAAAATAGCTATCTGAACGCTACACAAAGCTACGGTAGCTCTTCCATATTGCACTCTTGGCCCTCTCTCGGAAGGCTTCCCGGCACCAGTCACGAGTAGGATGAGCGTCCTGATGCAGAGGGCAGGATATTTAGACGAATAATATTTTCCGTCTGTGGTATGAGTTCTGAGATGCAAACATAGACCTTGTTTCATCGTTGTCATACCGTCCCATGCACCATTATCACCCCCCAAGGGCGCACACAGGAAGTTTGCGGTCAAGTTGCGGCCATCCTCTGCTTGCCGTGCGCCACACACGATGAGAGCCAATATTGACAGATTCTGAAAAAGTTGTATTCACCTACGATTGAGTGACGATACACTGGACCCACCAATAAGCACGCGACGCTGTCCCTGGGCCTCTGTCTCTGCATTTTTCGCAGCTGTATTGTGGGTGATCCAGGTGCTGGTGGAACTGGAACTATTGTCCGACACATCCGCACTTCACGTGGTGGTCGAAGTGCAAGCGCTCCTGATCGGGATGAACATTGGACTTTCGGGGTGAGACACTGCTCATTGTAGCTGTCGGTAGTATCATGCCTCGTACAGGTTGATTCGCCTCAGAATCAGGCACGTTCGTTTAGCCTCTGCGTCCGCGCTGACATAATAGGGTTTGGCTTCCAAGCGGAACGTGATACAGGCCCGTGCCGCTATGTAGTCAGGCCTCCCCCCCTCTTGGCGAGACCGTATAACAGGGCGTGGTTATGTCCGGGGAGACCTGTTTCTCTCACCTGCCGCCTGCATGAAGCCACAATGAAAGCCGAGGCAGTGATCCACCATTTGCCCGCCCGCGCGAATCTTGCTCCATATATTGACTGTTGCATCGACGCAGCTTGCTCCTTCCCATGGTGAGAGCCCACCGTGGTGGGGTGAAGGCATGGTTCAGGGCCACTGTGGTTCCTGTCGACGAGACGGTTGCCGTGTCAGCGTTGGATGTGGATGGCGTGGTAGGGCTGGCAAGCAGTGGTGGAGAAATGGCTGAGCAGTTTGGAAAATTCTGCCGAGAGAACTTGTGCATGGAGAGCTGGGATTTCCTCGTTGACGTTGTCCGCTACGAACGCATGGCGCCAAGCCCCGTAAGTACATGTACAACAGCCAAATGCAGAACTTGACTTCTGATGATGCTCCCTTGATATACCCAGCGCCGCACAAAAACCTTAGGTATCCGCATGCGCACGCAAAGGGCGACACAATACATCATGGATATTAGTTTGGTATGGTCGAGATAAGGCAAGAACCGATAGATGATTCCACTCCGGGGAATTTGTTGTACTTAGGGTCGAGACTTGAAAACGTCGCCAACAGAGCAATTGTCTGCTGTCGGGCGGGCTTTGATACCCGCTGGTCGTGTTTGTGGAATTTTTCTCACCCCAATGGGCTCACCTCGTTTGTGCGCTTTGCAGATCGCGAGAAACCCTGAGGACGAGCAGTTCAACTGCTTCTTGCACATCCTGAACCACTACCTGCTTCCCACGTCACCCGACGAGATCAACATATCCAGCGCAATGCACAAACGCATCGCGCCATTCAGAACAAGGTACGGTATCCCAGGAATCCCAGTTCCTTCGGGGCGTCGCGATTCGAAGATGGACACCCACCCGTAGCAAGGAAAGAAGGAAAAAGTGACATTACCTCGATTTTGACTTGCAATAGAGCTCCAGAGTGGTCGTGTCGTGGGGTCGATATTCTCAGCAGACGTCCGCAGTGATCGGATATCATTGAAAACGCCCTACACTCGGCTGGCCATGTTGAATACCCGTTCCGTCGTTCTCTCGAACCACAGGGAGGCCTTCAACAAGCTCGGTCTCGAGGAACGGGTCAGCATCTTTAAGGAACCCTTCGACGAGATCGTCCGAGTGCTTGAGCAAAACCTACTCAATAAGTTCCAGAAGCTCATAGCTTTGGACCGGGGTGCGTTTGTCTGTGACTCGTGGCTAGGGTGGCATATTCAAGCTATACGTTAGACATCAGCCAGACCCCGGGCTTGAATCTCATGACCCCCCGGTGTTCTCGTATCTCGATTGCCACGGTCTCGGTACGTTGCCGACAGAAGCGGCAGGGGTTCGATGCCTTCGTCTACTAACAAACTCGAAACTGATTTTCCCCAGAACCTTTTAGACTGTACCTTGTAGGCTATACAATCTCCTGGCCCACTCGAATCGTTTGTGACCTCCATATTACTGAGTCGCAGACCTCTCCTCTTGGCGTCACCCCACACAATCCCTTGTCAGAGGCCCAACTGTTCAAAGCAGCGGATGGGGACGAGGAGCTGGCGATGGTCCTGAGGGGGTCCAGTCATGGAAATTTTTCGAGCCCGCCCCCCAAGTGAAACCATCGTACGTGCTTCAACAATCAGTGCCTTAGTCTCTTTTCTTTGATGTGCACAAGGTGGAGCACCGGGCGGACTAGATTGAGAATGTTGTGTTCATGATGAGATAGGCCAAACCTCCGTTCACTTGAAGTTGCTCTCTCTTGGTCGTACTCGTTTGCTCACGCTCACTAAATACCCAAACATGCTCCTTTGCCGTCTCAGCGAACCAGTTCGCAGTGTTGTCCTTGACACATCTTCTTCCTGACACCTCGCTCTCTGATCACATTCCGGTTACTTGCTACTATATAGGCCATTTCTCGCCTTCTTGAACAAGTGCCGCAAGTTTTCCGGCTTGCCATAGAGGACACGTCGTTCATACCATGTACGGAAGGTCTTATGACGAGTCACACCCCAACACACGTGGCTTCGTTTGTTGAATGTCGCATGGTACGTTCTGATCCTGCAAGTGTCTGGAGGATCAGGCGGCAAGAACACATATTTCTAATTTCCGTCGCTACTTCGATTGATGACCAAGCTGCTTTTGTATGATATTCCGCTAAAGGGACTGGCATAGTGCAAATTTTCGTGGGCGTTGGGGATAACTACTACCTAACCAAACTAACACAGTATACACGCAAAAAATTCAGTCCGTCCATACCAATCCCGATTTCCCCGATGCCCCTCTGCCGATCCCTTATGGGACCCTCCCCCCCGCCCCCACGGATTGCCTGCTCAACACTGGGTACCCGCCTCCCTCCGCTCCTTCTCCATGGTGCTGCTGCGGTGCGACAGGTACTGTAGGAGGTACTCGGTGGATTCTGTTTTTCCTGCCCCGGACTCTCCGCCGATGAGCACGGACTGGCTGCGATGGTCGGTGATGAGCCCCCTGTCAATCCGAGGCGACCGCGGCAGCAGAACAAGCAGCAGGAGCAGCCCGCAACCGTAGCAGCAGCAGCAGCAGAAACAGCAGCAGCCGCAACCGCAGTAGCAGCCGCAGCAGAAACGGCGGCAACCGCACAGGTGGCCAATGGGTACGGTTGTACAGGGGCGTTGTGTAACCTCCGGCCAACGAGGGGATATTACATGGGATAACGTGGGGGGGTTACAGGCCGAGCGCGCATAACGTGCCGGGTTATATAACGCTGGCGGCACAACCGCGGTCGGTTAGGGGTTATTACATGGGATAACGTGGGGGGGTTACAGGCCGAGCGGGCATAACGTGCCTGGCTATATAATGCTGGTGGCACAACCGCGGTCGATTAGGCAGCGCCTCGGGCAAACCGTTAGCGTTGTGACTTGTTGGCGGCCTAACCTTCGCACGTTATAGCTGACCGCTATGGTCGGGTTGCGGGTTGTCGGATTAGCGGGGGACGAGCCCAACAAGAGCAATGGATTGGTTTAATGAATATCGTATGTAATTGATTGCCGGATCTGTCGAGGCACGTACGACCTCTACTCCGCCATAGGGTAACGTCTTCATAACGGTTACACACCAAAATCGGGGTGGTCGGACGAGCCCAAGCAATCTTCCACTGTTACCTCTCCCAGAACTTCAAATCAACCTTCGGGTTCACCCCCTACAGTATTTACCTATCGCTGCGACTCCACGGGCGGGGCTTCCCCAGCAACAAGTCTCCCTGCATTGAGCCAAAATTCCAAGCTACAGACCTCCAGTTACTGCCTCCCTTCCACCAACAATATACTTTAATACCCCCGTGCACACGCCTCGTGCAAGGGCTCTACCCAGTGAGTCGGGTCGTGAACACTAGCGGTACTTCCGCAGACATCCACTACGGCTAGCCATCCCGAAGGACATCCCTTGCTTTCAACGTTGAAGTCACCGTTCCCTTGACGACCACTTCTTCCCTTCGCCACGCCCGACAACAAGACTTAACGCAACCCCGCCCAAACTCATCCTCCAAGAAAAATACTTGGTGTCCACAGCCTGGGTTGGTGCCACACAAGTACATCCTCAATGAATCGGAGCGACAGAGACGCGCGCTACCTCTCCACTTCTCGGGACGGAAGGACCCACCACCAACGAGAGCCTTGCTGCTCTAGAAGAAGCGTAGCGCCGTTGGTTAGCGGCGGTCTCACACCATGACCACCACACCCACTTACAAAGCCATCCCGGGGCTGCCACCGCGCTCCTGAATCGCTCAGAAGAATGA